AGGCCTTGTTGACCCCTCTCCAAGTATAGCGCTTATGATTGTGAACTTAAATCTCTCTTTATGGTCTTGTCACTCCAAATTACAGTGTGAGACAAAAATTGGAAATAGGTCACACTACAGTAACAGAAAAAATAATAAGTAGTAGTAATGTACTCACATATAATGAATAAGGCAAAAATATTTTCTAATAGTCCTATTACTTAGTAGGCTGCTATAGGGTGAAGTTGATCTGTAGAGACTTGAATATGTTGTAAGTCCAATACGGTGCTGGATCTTCAAATGCTGGAGTCGTCTTGACTCAGATTTGGATATGTGGACATAAAAAGAAAAAAGTACTCCAATAGTGCAAACTGCAACTGACAGGTAAATTAATAAAAAATATACAACAGGGAGGTAATCCACTCACCTACTGAGGAGCCTAGACTAGCTCAAGTGTAATTGACATTCAGTGGCATCAATCCCCCACTGGTAGGATATAGGTGTTGATAATTGGAAGAGCTCCTCGGTATGTAGAGAGATAAAAGCCAAATATAGTGCTCACTGTATATATTATAAAACAAGTCAATTATGGAGAAATAAAATACTCACATTTGCATGGGCAGGATATACTGCTCAATATGATAGCATAGGTGGTACTATCCCCACCTAGGATTCTTGGGCAGGTGCACGCTCCAATGTTGTAGATGACCAGGTATAGTTAAATAGATATAATAAAATTATTTATAAAAATTATTTTCAAATAATAATTAAAAAAATAAAAGGTATATGGTTAAAATAGCCAATATTCATTTATTAATAACTATTAAAAATAGAATGTAAAAACAGCCAAAACGCATTTTGCCTCACAGGGCTTTATCAACTGGCAATAGAAACAACAACCTGGTACATAAATGCTTATATAGGCTTTGTAATCATATGCTAATTCAAATTTTGGTGCCAAAAATGACTTCATTTGTATAATACATATAAGCAATACAAAACATAGATATAATAGGAATAGAATATTGTGTAAACCAATTATATGGTTATAATATATTTACATCTTAAAAACTAGTAATTTATTTTAAGAACTATTAAAAGAATGATAACAACTTTGGTCACGTGATCGCGATCTGCCGCGATCACATAGTATGCCCCAATGATCTTTGGTGAAATGTATACTAAGCAAGGGGGTCAGTGTAAGTAGGCATGCCCCCTAAGCTGTCTGACATAAATAGGTTGGGCGGTGTATTTAACGTAGGTGTACAGCGCCCTAATTGAATTCATTTGACGGCATAATGCTGATAAGCACTGAGCAGGACTTATTCATTGAGCAGCAATGTACTCTGGGTAGTGTAGTCCGTGGGTGGAATGCACCCAGAAGTGGATGCATTCCACTCAATAACCCCCCCCCCCACAATCCAGTACCACCTTAGTAGACACTTAAAAAGCAAGCTAACCCATACAACCATACAACAACAAATTTCCTCAGTGATAAATAAGAGCATGGGTATTAAAAAGTAAATAAATACATACTAGAGATATTTAAAAGGACAGCTAAAAATACATAGAATAAACATAAGATTGTTTTGAAAAAATACTTTCATAGAAACATTTCAACCAAAATGAATAATAAAAAAGGGATAAATGAAAATACAGTGAGAAAAAAGGTAGTACCTTATATAAAACAAGTATAAAAGGAAACTAGTACTTAACTATATGGTATGTAAATAAAGTGAAAACATAACCCAAATGAGATGCATTGTATTTAAAGGGAAAGTGTCCTACCTTTTGGAGCCGAATCAGAAATTTATCTTTGATTTTGTATTTTAGACCATGATATGCATCTTGATTAAAAACAAGAAAATATATGAGACGACAGGAGACATGACAAAAACAAAACAAAAAACTAGACAGACCAAATGTAATATTTAGAGGGGCCCCTAATTTTAAAACAATTCTTATGAGAAATTATACGAAGAACAATGTACAGCAGAGAAATAACTTCTTATCTAGGCCGAAAGGTTTTTTTAAGTGTAATAAATTCAGTGTAATTAATGCATTGTGCAACTACAGACCCAACTTCCAAGTCTAAAACCACCCATTTCTCCTCCACAATTACAAAAGCATGGAGTCCCCGCAATAGGCATCCATAGTGCTGCCTGCAGTGGGACTGCCTAAACTCACAGGCAGTCTCCCTACTTCTGTTAAAATAAAAAAAATATGTTATATATAAATATATATATATATATATATATATATATATATATATATATATATCTCAATATAAAAATAGACTTTTAATTAAATTGCACACACACACACACATATATATACACACACACACACACACACACAATATAAATAAGTAAATAAAAATAAATAAAAACATGTAAAAATAATAAACTTTTTTTAATTATATATATGTAATGTTATTCTAACTATATATATATATATATATATATATATATATATATATATATATATTAATATCAAAATACACTTAGAATGGAATTATATATGTATATATAAATAAATAAAAAATAATACGAAATTTGCATTCTTCTGCACGAAGGACTTTTCAGCACAGGGCCAAGTTGACTCTCCAGTGGTTACAGCAAAGAAAGGTGAAGGATCTTGTGCATAGGCAGAGGCTGTGCGTAGGCTGTGTATAGGCATAACCTTTACCATTGATAAACCCAACCACTTATTCCTGAAATGAACCACAACAGACTTGCTTTGGAGTAAATAGGCCACAGCTTTATTATAAATATATAAATATTAAAACTTCAACATGAACATTATATACATAATTACTAAAATAGTAAATAGTAAAATAGTAAATAGATACCTCACTTGGTACCACCTTGCCAACCAAACATAACTTAGGGCAGCTGTCCCTCCCCCCTCATTCCAACCAGTACAAGGCCTTTTCTTGGGCCTTCCATTTTGTAATGCTATCCACTATCTGCTTATTGGCTCAGTGGGCACATCTGTTATCCATAACTGTACCTGAGGTTAGGTGAAGGACAGCCCTACCCATCCACTTTCCACGGATTGCTGATCCCACCACCAGTTGACAAGAGCCATATACCCCCACACGCCCGCTCGGCGTCCACATGCCCGCTGGGATCCAACAATGCCCGCTGGGCACCCACCACGCCCATTGGATGTACACAAGCTGTGACAGACAAAATACACAGACAAACAAACATGAAAAAAATATGGGGAGGGAGGGTAGGAAGCTCTTACCAACTGATAATTAAGATGGCTGATATCCTGTAAGATGGCAACCTATTTATACTATCCCACCCATCTACCCCTTTACTACTCCACCCATTGCCCCATGAGCACTTTACCACATTACTCTGTATACACTCACATGTTTCTGTTCTGCCTTGGCCTTGCCTGGCTCCTCATGGTGTGTAGTTACCATCACAGTCTCCTGACCTTATTATAATTGAGCCACTCTGGGGAGATCTCAAAGTGCGGTTCATGCAATATCACCAAAAAGTTTGCATTATCCAGAGTCATTTTGCCAAGACGAATGGGCAGCTATACCACCTGCAAAAATTAGGTGCCTTACAGACAACTATTACAAAAGACTGCACGCCGTCATTGATGCTAAGGGTGACAATCTACAGTATTAAGAACTAAGGGTATGCAGACTTTTAAACAGGGGTTATTTCATTTTTTTTTTCTTTGTTGCCATGTTTTGTTTTATGATTGTGCCATTCTGTTATGACCTAAAGTTGAATATGAATCCCATAAGAAATATAATAAATGTGTTTTGCCTGCTCACTCATGTTTTCTTTACAAATGGTACTTATATTACCAATTCTCCAAGGGTGTGCAAACTTTTGAGCACAACTGCATATAATCAATTTTGACAATTATTGATTAAGTGCATAATTTTGATGTTTATTTGAATACTGTCAGGACAGTATGTATGTCAGACCTGGACATACAGCTTAGATGATCTTAATTGCCAGACCAGGATTTATATCTTAGCTGTTACAAGTCTAAATACACTCAAAAGGTATGGAGGCAGATCACATGCAGAAACTAAAATGTATGTATGCAGCAAAAAGTTAATTTAGTTTTTATCAAAAAAAGTTTGTGGAGTTATTGTCAAGCCCCACCTCTTTCTACACTCTGCATCAAATAAGTATGGAACTCCAGGTATCACATGGAAAATCTGTCTCTGACAATTAGATGCACAAAACAGAAAATAAAAGTATGTTACTACAGTACCTGTATGTATAAAGACCACTTCAATCAATGCTGCTGTAATGCCCAGACTGTACTGCTGTTTCTTCTCTGTGGGTTTTTAAAGGTTCATCGAATCAAACAGAGGACAAATGAAGAACAATTGATTCTGCTGGGCCCACTTGTGAAGCCACTTTGATGAAGGAAATGTTTTCAGATATACTTATATCTAATACAAACTCCCTTCCGATAAATCTATGTGCAAATTAGATGCTTTTAGTTTTGTTATTCTATTTTACCAAACGGGTTCATTTGCTAATTTCCATGTTTGATATTGAATTTAATTTAGAAAATCAATCTTGCATAAATGTACATATTATGTACATATAATTGAGACTGTTGCATTATGTGACAGTTGCATTATAAGACCTAGAAATTTAAAGGGAAACCAGGGTGGCAGGAGGCAAGCAGGGGACTGCTAGGGCACGGAGCGGACCAGAAGGGTATAGCATTCAGCATGCAGGAGCGCAGCGCTTCCCCAGGGTCTCCCATACGACCGGGCCAGGGACGACAACAGGCGGGTCAGGTCGTCAGGGAAGGATCTGAATGGAGTGCCAGCGAGGAACAGTGCAGAAAGTCTGCTCCCTCCAAGAGGATAGCGCGGAGGGCTCTAGCAAAGGGCGCACAAGGTGCAAGGAGGCACCGGTCGCGTAGCTCACGGCCCTCAGGGACGGACATCTAGTGGGGAGATGGATTACAGTTCCCAGGAAGAGAGGGGACGGGGCAGGGCTTCCACGGCCAGCCTAACCAGGATGTCTTCTCCTTGCATTTCTCGAAGACGGTCACCCTCGGTGAGGGAGAGATCCCACGCATTGAGGACATCGGGACGGTCGCCGGCAGGCAAGGCGGACCTGGTTGCCGGACAGGCGTCTTCAAGATTGCCCACGGATTGGGTGAGGCCCAGCACTGCAGGAATATGGCCCGGAGCGGTGGAACGCTTGGGGCAGGACATCCACAGTCGGTCGGCAACCCCACAGCCTTTGGTGGCAATGGGTGCGCAAGGTGAGACATTGTCGTTGCAGCAGTCAGGGGAGCTTTTAGATGACATCAAGCAGCTAATTGATTCTTGGGGTGTAGGAAAAAGGAGGGACGGGGATTGCAGTCAGGTTTGGGCTTAGCCGGGGGAGGTCACAGGGTCGAGTCCAGTGGTGGTTTCGGGGGCCGGGGGCAGCACGGTTGGGGATGGGGTATGACCCAGTGGTGGAGGTGCCCAGATTGGCGAGCAAGAGGGACAATTTACTTGGGGGTGTCCTGGAGGCCGCGCGGTAGAATGTACATGTTTCTTTCGCGGGCCCGTTGGGCTGTCATCTAAAACTTGAGGTGAAGGAGAGGATCTGGAAAGGGGAGTTCGTGGAGCTCTTTTCGCTTCTCCCCCTTGAGGACTACATTGACCTCAAGGAGGAGGATAAAAAGGATACTAAAAAAGAGGAGGAGAAGAAGAAACGGCGGTATAGGAAGATCCCTAAGACGTTTGGGAATTGGTTGAGGGCGTTCTGCATCTTGGCCATTGTGATGGGCGAAAAGGCGGCGGAACGCTGTTCACAGCTCTTTTGTTACCTGGATGGAATTTGGGAAGCGTATCGCACGTACGGGGGTCTGGCATGGTGGCGATATGACGAGCAATTTCGTTAGCGCCTGGCTGCTAATCCGGGGATGCGGTGGGACCAGATGGACCTACCACTCTGGATAAAATTTATGATGGCGCCGAAGGCGTCTCCCTTTCAGCCGGGGGCTGGCACGGGCGCTTCCACCTCCGTGTCAGCCAACCAAAAACGGGGCTATTGTTGGCTATATAATGAGGGACAGTGCAATTGGGGGGTCATGTGTCGCTTCAAGCACGAGTGCTCTGGGTGTGGAGGCACCCACGGACTCCACAGGTGCTTTAAAAAAGGTAAGTCAGCTACCGCGGCGGGGGTGCCTGGAGGTTCGGCCGCGTCCCCTGCAACTGGGGGCAACGCCAGTGAGGGTCGGCGTGATGCTACCGTGGCTAAACCGCTATGAAGATGCGTTGTTGCTTGAGGAGGGGTTTACTAAAGGGTTCGTGATCCCGTTTTGGGAACGGGTGGTGGCTCATTGTCTTCGCAACTTGAAGTCGGCGAGGGAATTTCCGGGGGTGGTTAGGGAGAAGTTGCTTAAGGAGGTCCAGTTGGGCAGATTGGCGGGACCGTTCAGGGAGCCCCCTCTACCTAACTTGAGGGTGTCAATGCTGGGGGTGGTACCCAAGAAGGAGCCAGGCAAGTACCGCCTGATACATCACCTGTCGTACCCCAAGGGGTCGTTAGTTAAGGACGACATTGACAAGGCCCTTTACTCGGTGTCGTGCGCTTAGATCGACCAGTTGGTGAATCTGGTGCAATGAGCGGGCATTGAGCGGCATTGTTGGCAAAGGCAGACATGGAGGCCACTTTTCGCCTTTTGCCAATTCACCCGAAGTGCCATCACTTGCTGGGATGTCACTTTGACGGTGAGTATTACGTGGATCTATGTTTGCCCATGGGGTGCTCTATATTGTGTGCGTACTTCAAAATATTTAGCACATTTCTAGAATGGGTGGTGAAGCTGGAAGCGGGCACTAAGATGGTGGTTCATTACCTGGATGATTTCCTATGTGTGGGCCTCCCGGATAGGAGGAATGCCGCATGGGACTGAGGACATTGGAATGGGTGGCGCACGTTATTGGAGTCCCCTTGACGAGTGACAAAACGGTGGGGCCTACAACATGCTTGAGTTTTTTGGGCTTGGATATTGACTCGATCAAAGGAGAGTGTAGCCTGCCTCAGGACAAGTTGCTGGCACTCCAGAAGGCAGTGGCAGAGGTGCGGGGAGCTAAGAAGGTCACGCTCCAGGCGCTTCAGTCACTGCTGGGTTGGCTAAACTTCACCTGTCGGGTGATTCCGGTCGGGAGGGTCTTTAGCAGGTTTCTAGCTAGGGCGACGGGGGGGATGGTGTTCCCGCACCACCTTATTCAGGTTTCAGCGGCTATGAAGGGCGATCTGGACCTCTGGGGGGAATTCTTACAGGATTTCAATGGGAAGGTGTTCTTTCGGGAGCTGGCGGCGTCTACAAACATACATCAAAATCATACAAATTGGTCCAGTGGTTCAAAAGATAGATCGTAGTCCTTTGTGACCACAGGAAGCATGGCTTTTCTGCCCAAAACCAGTTCCACAGAGTCTTCTATCCTGGAGATAATTAGAAGTAATCCAATTATCTCCAAAGACAGAGGCAAAACTCCATTGAACACATGGCAGCAAAAAGACAGTAAAATACAATAAAATACACAAGGTTACATTTATGACATAAAATACAGACATGCAACATATCCCCAGATAGCTCAGATCTGAGCGCACATTATTACTGAATGGCGCTCAGAGCACACACATACAGTTCAATTGCCATGGAGCCAAAGTCTAGGCACACTAAGCTGTTTATGTGCTCCCACCAAAAAATAAATAACTCATTCCTGTCCCCCCACCCCCCAAAAAAAACCAAAAAACAACATATCCACAACCTCATCTCCATCCCATACCTTTTTTTTTTAAAATAAATAAAATGCCTCCAAATCAAGAATTGAAATGAGCATGCTCAGGCTTGGGCAAGTCAGCATTAAATTTGTCAGAAAAATGTACCTCATTATGAGAAGCTATTACTCTCAGCTTCATTGATTTTTGAGATTATATAAAAAAACAAAAAAAAAACAGTCAAATGCTTAAAGTAAATTAATACTTAAAGTAAAATGATTTCCTATTGGATGAGTAGGCACCTCGTCACACCTGACCCCAGGGCACCTGTGTTCAGCACTTACAATATGCCTTTTTGACACCTCCAGTGTCAGTCACTCAGATGGCCACTGAAGGTGCTTTCTGGGGTCAGTGCTGCTCAATGTGCTGAACCTTCCCTTAGAGATGCATGAGTCAATGCATCTCAATGAGGAGATGCTGATAAGTGCAGTGCCGCGTTTTGCCACGCATATGCTCTAGTCTCTCAGTGCTTTCTAATGGGATTGGCTGCTATCATCAAGCCACGACTAGACCCAAGTGACACTTGAAAAAGATTAGTAAATAGTTTCAACCAGAGAAAAAGGAGGCTAAGACTCAACAGCTATTTAGACCTATAGTGTTGAGAATACACATTTGTATTCCTGACACTATAGTGTTCCTTTAAATAGACTCAATGATAGAGATTGGTACCAGGAGCCCTGGCCAGCGTCCTCTGTAGGCCAGTCAGCATCAAAGGGTTTCTATACAAAGTTGTATTGTTTACACTATTGTTCTCTCTAGCTGCCATGTCCTTTAAACCCCCTGGCACAGATATGGTCTTTTTTGGCCCCAGTTCGGTGTTCCGCCTCCTCAGACATCACCCGACATGGAGCTAAAGCGCATGTGGAGGGTGTAAAACTCAATGCTGCCCCAGCTCTTCCAGTGTCTGTATGAGAGCTAGAAATAGAAAGATATTTCTTTCTGTCAGCCCACTTGTAACCACTGACACAAGAAAAGCATTGCAGGAGGCACAGGGGAAGCTTTATCTGATACAGACTGTATTACTCCTGCAGCACTAATTTCAATCTGACTAGTGAGTACTTTGCATATAACACTTTAAACTGCAGCATTCAGAGTCTAAACCTGAAAATAAACTCTTTACCTTAACCCTATGTTTATAGGAACATAAAAAATGAATTGAATCAAAGATTTTAAAGACACACTATAGGGTCAAGAACAAACATGTATTCCTGACCCTATAGTGTTAAAATGCCCTATCTAGCCCCCATTGCCCTCCTAAATATACCATATTCCCAGTCTTTCAGTGTTGGCTTCACTCTGGACCACCTCCATGGTTGATATCATCAGAAGTAAAGCATTTAGTTGTCTAAGATCAACTCCAATGCACTGTGCAGCACTGCCCAAGGAAGCACCTCCAGTGGCCAGGGCCAATCCTAGGGTCACAGACCTCTGGGTGCAGAAATTTGTTGGAGCCCCTATGTGAGCATGGTCATCTTACTATCCTCTCTCCTTTGCAAATGTCCAGACATGCACATTTCTATGGCAATGACTCCACTTCACCATCTATAAGCCCCACCAATCTTTCTAATCTGACACACTCACTGAGAGAGACACACTTAAAGAAGCACACTGACAAACACACTCTCAATGACAGACACACAATCTTACTGATTTGAAACACACTCACTGACAGATACACTCACCGACAGCCACACACACTCACCGACAGCCACACACACTCACCGACAGCCACACACACAAGTTGACAGGCACACACACACTCAGTGAAAGACACACATACTCACAGATATACTCACTAACAGACACACACACACACACACACACACACACAAACACTCACTGACTCAAATACTGTTTGCTGTCATCATCACTGCCTGTAGTGATTAGGATAGGTAGTGGTCTTTTTTAAGTGGGATTGCAGTGCATATATGCTTGTGGACAGTGACATCAACTGTATAGCTTGAAAATACCTGACAGAAAGATTATTTTAACATGGGTGAGTAGCTTCACACACTCACACAAATACATACATACTGACAGACACAAACATACAATGACATAAGCACACACTTATTTACAGACAAACACACTCACTGACATACACATACATAGTGACAGACACACACTTACTGACATTCACACACACACACATACTCACTGAAGGAAGCATACACACACTCATTTACACACACACTGACAGACAGACACACAAACACATCGGCAGACAGACACACTCTTTGACAGACACACACTCTTTGACAGACACACACACTTTCACTGACAGACAAACACTCACTGGCAAACACACATGCTACCAGCAGAAACACACACTCACCGACAGACAAGCACACACACACTCATTGACAGAAGAATCACACACTTACCGACAGACACACAAACTCACTAGCATGGGTGAGTAGCTACACACACACTGACAGACACATTGACAGAAGCACACACTTACCGACAGACACACACTCA